GCGAGACACAGGCCCCTGGGAGACTTAGGCAGCATAAACACTGCAGGATTAATGCATTTTGACGTAGCTTTAACTGCTATGCCTCCATGCTATGGAATTCTGGGATTTGTAATTTCTTGTGCTATTTAGCCTTCTCCGTCAGAGTGCTTTGGTGCCCCAATAAACTACATGTCCCAGGATTCCATAGGATTGAGCTATGGCAATTGAGGTGGTGTCAAACTGAATTAATTCTGATGTGTGGATGCAGCCAAAGTGAGCAAAGCTCAGATTGGTTCTCCTATTCTTGCCAATGCTCTCGGTTCCCTGATACCATGTGCCTCCTTTCCTGAATTTTGGGGACCCAAGGGAAAGAATTGAAGGAGGGGAAATGGCTTTGGTGCTGAGCTGTCCTCTCACAGGCCTACAAAACTGAGGGTCACAAAAACCTTGATTAAAAGATATCCTGGTTTTAAAGGAATTTGGCATTCTAAATCCCAAAATGACCTCTGATTTGCTCCATCACATATAGCTTTTTCCCATCTTGCTTTGACACTTTTATGTTGTAATATTTGTAATGCTGAATGAAATTAAAATTGAAATTAATAAAGACATTTGTGAAAGAACTGAGTGTGTATGGTCCAACATTTGTATTGTGCTTTTCAAACGGAATCCCAAGAATACATTAGAAACAGCTATAATATTTTTAAAAGCTTAAGGCTTTATTTTTTTATTTCTCAATGTATTTCTGTCCCAACTTTCCCCTGGTTTAGGATCCAACGTGGTTTTCTTGTTGTTGTTGTGTGCCTTCGTGTTCCTTTCCAACTGATGGTAACCCTAAGGTGGCCTTATCATAGGGTTTTCTTGGTAAGGTTTGGTAGTGGGGGGGTGTGTGTCACCATTGCCTTCCTTTGAGGCTGAGAGAGTGTCACTTTCCAAAGTGGCTGAGTGGGGATTTGAACCCAATGTCCTAATCCAGCACTCAAACCACTAAACCATGCCAGCTCTCTTTTGTTGTTGTTGCCCATTCCATCTCTTTTCTGAGGGCTGATTGTGCTCCAGAAATGTCGGAGATGAGACCCAAGAGATAAAACAATTTCTTTTTGGCTGCAAGGCCTTTTCAGACGGTTGAGGTTGGGCTCTTAATGTTTTGTGGTGCTGGAGTAAAAAGTTGTTTAGGGTCTGTATATGCAGTGGGCCTCCACATTCACTGGGGGCAGGGACACAGAATCCCTGTAAAGGGGGAAAAACCACAAATAATAAAAAAAACCCACTATTTTTTTTACTTCAGAGAACACTTCTATAGGATTCTCTAAACCTCTAGCGTACATCTATAGTCAATATACACGAGAGGTTCACCACAGAATTCTGTTGGACAACTTACAAATGCCTAAAGAAGCGTTCTCTCTAGAAATGTTGGTCATCCAGCGAAACCTCTAGCAAAAGTTGGTCATAGAGTTTGCTTTACCACCATAGTGAAGAGGTGGACTGAGGCCAGAAAGAGCTCTTGTGTCCATATCTCCTCTTCCTCTCCTCTCAGCTTTGTCTCCTACTGTGCAAGGCCCTCTCCTCCATTTATTTATTTCTGCAGACCATTCTCAGAAGGCAAAGACAGGAGATATGATAAAGAGAATAGTTTTCCCAGCATACCAAGTGTTAATGATGGGAGCTTGGAACCATCCATTCTATTCATGCAGATTCTATTCAAGGATCTGTGAATCAGCTATCATTGGGTAATGTGGCATTGGTATCCAAAATTTGTCCCCCATCACACCTCATGTTTAATATCAAATTAATGATGTGAAGGGAGACTGGGGGCCTTTGCAGAGGGCAAGAAATAGTGCAAATTGAGTCCACTTTAACTGCCCTGACTCAATGTTAGGGAATCATGGGAACTGTAGTTTATTGTGGCACCACAGCTCTCTGACAGAGAAGGCTCAATATCTCAGAAAAAATTAGAATTCCCATGATTCCCTAGCAGTGAGCCAGGGCAGTTAAAGTGGATTCAATTTGGATTATTTCTAGCAGTCTGCAAAAGCCCTGGGATGGGTGGCCTGGATTCAACCCCACTGTGGGAACCTGACTTCTCGGTGCACTTGAAGAGCTGGTCAGGGTGAGCAGGGAAGAAGAGGGCACCCACCTTGAGGAGATCGTCAGATTTGCCATCATAATCCTTTTGTGCATAATCCTTTTGTTCGGACAAAGGGTTCAAGAGCCAGAGGGCTAATCCCTTTTGCCTGAGGGATTCACACCTATTATCCCCCGCATTCAAACTGGTTTGGGACTATTCTTTCTTGGGAAACATTTGAAAGCAATTTAATCCATTCAGCTCTTGGTTTCTGTCCCCCAACTACTTTCCAGAGTATAGATATTGGTTATTAAAACCTTCACATTGTCATGGATGGATCATTTCCTGGTCAAGGCTGAACTAAGAACCACTGTCCACTCACCCCCATGGGGATGGTGGACCTATTAGAATGCTCTCAAAGGCTAATGGAACCAATTGGATTCCAGAAAGCCTTAGTGGGTTTAATGGCTGATAGCGCCGGTGATTCTGTCGAAGCTTTGGTCAATACCGGGAACACCGATCTCGCCAAGGCTATCGACACAATCGCTCCCAAGTGTCTTTTCCAACCTGCTCCCAACTGTAAGCCTCGGTATACGGAAGAGCTTAGGAGGATGAAGCAGATTGGACAACGACTGGAGTGCATCTGGCGGAAAACT